CGATGCGGTTTCTACAGTAACGAACCGCTACCGGCTCGCTCGTTCCTTGCTTCGGATTGGCCGATCCGGGCTGTCAATGAGAGTTAGCCCCGCCCCCTCGACCTCTGCGGATTTTCATGCGGCCGGGCGCGCTACGGAGAGACGGCGGGTCGGAATGGGGAGGGGAGGGTTCTGCTTTGCCAGGCCTCGTTGGGGTGAACGCGGCAGCAGCTACCGCCCGCCCGCACCTAAGCTCGTGTCTTGGGGGCGCCCTACAGGGAGGCTCCAGCCGACCCAGCCTCGCTTCCCTGGGAGCTCCTCGGCGGGCAAGGGCTGCCCCCATTCCCCGCCCTGCCGTTGTAGGACCCCTATCCCGGCCCCCAGCCAGCCACGCGGGCCGGGCCGGGAAAGAACCCGGCCCCATAGCGCTCACATTCCCGAGGGTAGCCCCACGGGAGCCCTGACACGGCTGCCTGGGCCATGTGATGCACCACTGAGCCGGGAGCCGGCACCGCGCAAACACAGCGCTCCGTTGCTCTGTATACACCCAGATTACCTTGTGCTTGCTATGCCTGTCTGATTTGCTGTGATTAATACAAGAGGAAGAGACACGTTGGATTTGAAGAAGTGTAACAGCATGAAAGAAATGTCATTTTATCTGTGAAAAATGCAAATAGGCCCCAAAGTTAATGACCAATTGCAGGAGTTGAAGCAGTACAGTCAGTAGATGGTGCAAGGGAGACATGATACTGTAGCACAACTAAATATTCCATGAGCAAATAGTTATATTTATGCTGACCTGAGCAGGGGAGGCCATCTGCATAGGTTTATTTTATAAAAGTGATCACTGTAGTTTTCATATTATTACTATCCTTGTGGAAGTAATGGACTCAGATGTTCTTTTAAAACACTGCTCCATATTGTGGGTAGCCAAAGCGAATAGCTTCCACTGGAACTCCTGGAGCAGTTGTGCCCCAGCTAGTGATGCTGGCTCCAGGAGTGCAGAAGTTTCACCAAACCACAGCCCTTCATCAGGCTGTAAGAGAAGCTCATGTTCTGCATGTAACTAGCTCAGCTGGCTTGTGTGGAGAGAGCTGCGATCTTGACAGATCACTACATGGTTGACCTTATTGTAGCCTCCTTTCATAGTGGAGAGGCTTGAGAAGGAAAGAAATTCCAATTAGGAACCAGCACATGGGCCAAGGAAACTGAAGTCACAGGCAAGAGCGGCACCAGGGTGGCACAGTATCAGATGAGATAACAGTTGCTGCAAGGATCTGAGATGTATTTGAGGAGCTGAAAGAAGTTAGTATTGCAAAAAACCTATGTTGCTGAAGTGGGTTAAAAGAGACAGAATTACACCAGTTAAGTTTGAAAAATCAATCAGCTAATCAATTTCTATTTCATATTGGTATGTGTATACAAGATATAGTCTGAGTTGAAATATGGGATATATTTTGACTTGTTTGGAAAATACTAGGTTAAATCTTACCCTTAGCTGCTACTCATTCTAACTTGTTTTTAATGCAGCACAATTGGTGTGCATGGCACTTTACAAATAAGTAATAATGAGAGGTCTCTGCTTCAAGTAGCTTATAATCAAAAAAAGTCATAATACTGAAGAAGATCACAATAAATAGTGGGTGAAGTCAGAGATATGGGAGAATGAGTCTCAACAGAGGAAGGTCATAAGATAGGCCTGCTTACCTGCTCATTGTCTTGGTATGGGACCAGGAGGAAGGCTTCATTTTGTATTGAATTTTTCTTAGGTGAGTTATGTAGTCATACTTTATAAAATAGCTCTATCTTGTACATTTTATTTAAAGATTTAGACATGTAATTCAGAGATCTACACTTAACTACCCTACCCAACTCATTTGTGACTTTCTCTGTTTACACTTCCACTTGTAATCTGCATTCACCTTTTCAGCTACCATTGTTGTTTCCCTTACTACATTTTTTTAGTTTAAATATTGGGCCTTTGTCGAGGCTGCAACATTCAAGACTTTCTTCCCTCCTCTTTGTGCTACTGGCTTCTTGGCACACTTTAATAGACAATGTAATTATTATTATCTCCCATATTATTATTTTACCTAATCTGGTTTAAGGATGTTAAATATCGAGAAATTTACTAATCGAGTAGTCGATGGAATTTCTATCGACTAGTCAATAGGCACTTCTGCATTCCTCCTTTGAAATGTACAAGAGCCCCAGAACTCCACGTGCAGCCTGGGGCCAGCGGGGAGTCCCGCTGACTCCGGGCTGCACATGGTGTGCCAGCTTTGGAATGTCCAAAAGTCCCCAGCGGGGGCTCTTGTGCATTTCAAAGCAGAAACATCCTCTTGGAGCCCTGGGTCAGCGGGAGACATGGAGCTCCACCCTGGGCTCCATGCCGAGTGGCTTTTTAAAGGGGCAGCGCCACACAGAGCCTGGGCTCAGCTGTGCGGTGCTGTCCCTTTGAAATGCCATTGCTGTGTTTCAAAGGGCAGCGCCTCATGAAGCCCAGGGTCAGCTCTGTGCTGCACGGCTTTGAAACACCGCCATGGTGTTTCAAAGTCGCAGCGCCGCATGGAGCCTGAGTACGGACTCTGTGCGGCGCTACCGCTTTGAAGTATCCTATTCCCCCTCCTTTGCTGCTTCTATCTGATAGAGACAGCAAGGGGGAGGGGAGATATTGACTAGTCGACTTGACTATCCAATAAGCATTTGCTTATCAGATAATCAACTAGTCAACTATTCCTTAACATCCTTAATCTGGTTGTCTGTGTGTTATTCCTGTATTGCGTGGCTCTGATTTACAAACAACATTACTGCAATTGACATTAATTTAGTAGTTTTGGTAGAGGAGCCAGGGAGTAAGTTGTATAGAATTTGAACTATCTGCTCTCAAAGTTGATTCTTCCAAGTCAAGGTTGATGAAAATGGAAAAATGTTTAATTGTTATTAGCACTGACTCAGTTGCTTAGAAAGATAATTTCATTCATAATGATGTTGTGGAAATAATTATCTAAAATAACTTTTAAATATTAGATTTTTATGGAGTTAGTTGCACTCAGCTCTCTATTAAGTGTGTTTCTTATATTCACTTAGAATATAAGGGTGGATAAGGGAATAAATAGTAGGGGTGTTAGCGGCTAGCCAGCTAACCATTTAACCAATAAGCAATTCTAACATCCCTAATAAATGGTACAGCAGAAGTACTCATTTCTGCTAATTGGGGGGCAAAGCAATGAAGGAGCTATACAGAAGTGTCTTCAAATCCTCATGAAAGCAGTGCACATGACATAGGTAGTGAAACTCTGCTTATTGTTAACAGTCCTGGTTAACTGCAAACCACCCCAATCTTCAGTTTAAACTTGGACTGGCAAACTGGCTCAGTCCCAGCCCGCTGATCTGCATTTTAAATGAAGAGCACGCAGGGGAGCCGCTTGCCACTCTGCACTGTTGCCTCTGACACAGAGGCAGCAGCACGGGGTGGCAGGTGAGAGCTGGTCCATGTGGAGAGTCTGCCTGCTGCCCTGCCCTGTTGCCTCTGATACATTGCTCTGCAGGATGTCGAAACAGCCTTTGTCCATGGAGAGCTCAGGGGGCTACTCCTGCCCTGCACTGTCTGTATCAGCTTTTTAAGCCAGCTCCCCTCGCGGACTGACCCCGCCTGCCACCCTACGCTGCTGCCTCTGATTCAGAGGCAGCGGCATGGGATGGTAGGGGGCTCCCTGGGAATGGAGCCGGGAGTGCACTGACTCCCAGCCCCACCCTTTGAGGGGAACATTTTAGTAATCGTGTAACTGCTAAAACTTATTGCAGCTACACGATTACTAAAAGAAATAATATCTAACATCCCTAATAAATGGTACAGCAGAAGTACTCATTTCTGCTAATTGGGGGGCAAAGCAATGAAGGAGCTATACAGAAGTGTCTTCAAATCCTCATGAAAGCAGTGCACATGACATAGGTAGTGAAACTCTGCTTATTGTTAACAGTCCTGGTTAACTGCAAACCACCCCAATCTTCAGTTTAAACTTGGACTGGCAAACTGGCTCAGTCCCAGCCCGCTGATCTGCATTTTAAATGAAGAGCACGCAGGGGAGCCGCTTGCCACTCTGCACTGTTGCCTCTGACACAGAGGCAGCAGCACGGGGTGGCAGGTGAGAGCTGGTCCATGTGGAGAGTCTGCCTGCTGCCCTGCCCTGTTGCCTCTGATACATTGCTCTGCAGGATGTCGAAACAGCCTTTGTCCATGGAGAGCTCAGGGGGCTACTCCTGCCCTGCACTGTCTGTATCAGCTTTTTAAGCCAGCTCCCCTCGCGGACTGACCCCGCCTGCCACCCTACGCTGCTGCCTCTGATTCAGAGGCAGCGGCATGGGATGGTAGGGGGCTCCCTGGGAATGGAGCCGGGAGTGCACTGACTCCCAGCCCCACCCTTTGAGGGGAACATTTTAGTAATCGTGTAACTGCTAAAACTTATTGCAGCTACACGATTACTAAAAGAAATAATATCTAACATCCCTAATAAATGGTACAGCAGAAGTACTCATTTCTGCTAATTGGGGGGCAAAGC